CCTGGGGGGCTGCGATCTGTGAAATTGTCGCCACTTTCGAGGGCTGCTGGTGGGTCCTGCTGAGTGAGGCACCGCACGGACTTGAGCGGGACCTCGCCGTCCCTGGGGGGCTGCGATCTGCGAAACTGTCGCCGCTTTCGAGGGTTGCTGGTGGGTCCTGCGGAGTGAGGCACCGCGCGGACCTGAGCGGGACTTCGCCGCCCCTGGGGGGCTGCGATCTGCGAAACTGTCGCCACTTTCGAGGGCTGCTGGTGGGTCCTGCGGAGTGAGGCACCGCGCGGGTCTGAGTGGGACCTCGCCGCCCCTGGGGGGCTGCGATCTGCGAAACTGTCGCCACTTTCGAGGGCTGCTGGTGGGTCCTGCGGAGTGAGGCACCGCGCGGGTCTGAGTGGGACCTCGCCGTTCCTGGGGGGGCTGCGACCTGTGAAACTGTCGCCACTTTCGAAGGCTGTTGGTGGGTCCTGCGGAGTGAGGCACTGCGCGGACCTGAGCGGGACCTCGCCGTCCCTGGGGGGCTGCGATGTGCGAAATTGTCGCCACTTTCGAGGGCTGCTGGTGGGTCCTGCGGAGTAAAGCACCGCGCGAACCTGAGCGGGACCTCGCCGTCCCTGGGGGGCTGCGATATGCAAAACTGTCGCCACTTTCGAGGGCAGCTGGTGGGTCCAGCGGAGCGAGGCACCAGGCAGATCTGAGCGGGACATGGCAATCCATGGGGGGCTGCGAGCCTCACGAATGCCGCTCGCAGAAGTATATGCGCCCATGTCACGTCATCACCTCCGTATAACGACTCCCAAGCTACTCATGCCCCGCATTGCGCAGGGGTTGGGTACGTCGCCAGGGTAATTTCTTTTTGTGGAGAGCTTCTTGGGGGCCTCACGACAGTTTTTAAGGGTTCTTTGGGGCCTTCTGGAGGCCTCCTGTGTTCCTTCTGGGGGCCTTTGGGGGCTTCCTCGGGCCACCCTGCTTCAGCCGCGGTCTCTCTGAACGACTGGGTTACGATTTGGAATGCTTCGGGGGGCGTCTTGGAGCCATCGTAGGCCGTCATGGGTTTCTCTCTTCCAGCCATATCGAAGCCCTTTTGGGCCGTCTTGAAGCTTTCTTGGACTGCCTGGAAGCCTTTTTGCCTCCTCTCGAGGAGGCAAAGGGCTTCCAGGCAGTTCGAGGCAGTGCTCAGGGACAGCCCCGTCTATGAATGGTTTGGGGTAGTTTGGGGGCGATTTTCTAGCCTCATCGGCGGTCTCGGACGCCTGGAAGACCAAAGAACTGAGCATTCCCAAAATTATCCTGGCGAAGGACCCAACCATATGCAGTTGTGGGCACAGCAATTGTGAAAATCTTTTTCGGTGAAACTCCCTATGGGGCCACGCAGCGCTGCACTGGGTGGGGGGGAACTCTGTTCTGGGTGAGTGGTGTGTCAAGTAAGGTTTCCGGGACGCATGCGGAAGGTCCCACTGGGGGGTTCGGTGGAGCTCCCTATGGGGCCACGAAACGCTGTACTGGGTAAGTGAAAATGCCAAAATTGGGCTTCCGGGACGCATGCGGACGGTCCCACTGGAGGCTTCGGTGGAGCTCCCCATGGGGCCACGAAACGCTGCACTGAGTGGGGGGGACGCATGTGGACGGTGGCACTGGGGCCTTCGGTGGAGCTCCCTATGGGGCCACGAAACGCTGTACTGAGTGGGGGGGACGCATGTGGACGGTGGCACTGGGGCCTCCGGTGGAGCTCCCTATCGGACCACGAGACGCTGTACTGAGTGGGGGGGACGCATGTGGACGGTGGCACTGGGGCCTTCGGTGGAGGCCACGAAGCGCTGTACTGAGTGGGGGGACGCATGTGGACGGTGGCACTGGGGCCTTCGGTGGAGCTCCCTGTAGGGCCAGGAAGCGCTGTTCTGAGTGGGGGAGACGCATGTGGACGGTGGCACTGGGGCCTTCGGTGGAGCTCCCTATGGGGGCCACGAAGGCTGTACTTGAGTGGGGGGACGCATGTGAGACGGTGGCACTGGAGCCTTCGGTGGAGCTCCTATGGGGCCACGAAAAAGTTGTACGAGTGGGGGGGGACGCATGTGGACGGTGGAACTGGGCCTTCGGTGGAGCTCCCTATGGGGCCACGAAACGTTGTATGAGTTTGGGGGGGACGCATGTGGACGGTGGCACTGGGGCCTTCGGTGGAGCTCCTTATGGGGCCACGAAACGCTGTACTGAGTGGGGGGGACGCATGTGGACGGTGGCACTGGGGCCTTCGGTGGAGCTCCCTATGGGGCTACGAAGCGCTGTACTGGGTGGGTGAAACGCAGGGAAGAGGGGGAGGAGGGAGGAGGGGGAGGATGAGAGGAGAGGAGGAGGAGGAGGAGGAGGAGGAGGAGGAGGAGGAGGAGGAGGAGGAACGCGGGGACCGTCTCTTCAAAACGAGGACCCAACAACACAGGTTGGTTGGGAATTATACAGAAGCTGTGGGAACTCAAGCGGGATCTTCTTTCGAACGTCTTCGGGCGTCTGGTGGGTGTCTGGCGCCTCTTGGGGCTCTCGCGGGGCCCTTCGGCCGCCCTCCTGACCGCTTGGGCCCGCTGCCTAGGCCCAGCGGGGCTTCCAGGAGCCCCGCCCGGAAAGCCCAGGGGCACCTTCTTTGCAGCGGCATCCAGGGCCCCCCTCTGGGCCACGGATCCGGCGGGTCCCGTTGTCGGCGGGAGGGGATTTGTTCCCCCCCCCCAGGGTTGCAAAAATATGGGAAGGGCATACCTATACGATCACCCTTGGGGGGATAAAGGAGGTTTTTTTCGGGGGGGATAGGAACACCCACTGACAACAACTGCGATGACTGTGGTGGCGATCAGATGGCGACACTGCGCTGCACGATGACGCTCAGGGTGGTAATGAATCATGGCGACTGTATTCGATCGTGAGATCTGTTGTGATCGATCTCGCTATCGATCTCACTATCGATATCACAGCAGATCTCACTGCCGATCTCACACCAGATCTCACTCTTGATCTCACTATCGGTCGCACTATCGATCTCACCATCGATTTCTCTGTCGCTCTCGATATCGATCGCACTATCGACCTCACAAGAGATCTCACGAGACACCCTCGGGACACCACGATGGGGCCCAGCCACGGGGGGGGCACCCTCAGCCCAAGATTGGGAAAAGATAGGAAAGGGCATGTATACAAATGACGAGGCCAGGGCAGGGGGCCCCTAGGGCCAGAACCTCTACCACAGATGTGTGCCCTTCGGGCCCAGTCCGCTGCTGGGAGGTCCCATATTCGCCCCCTCAGCGCCAATGCCCTCTAGCTCAGTCGGGCTGGTCCAGGCCCCCACCCCGGAACGCTCCCGACGAGGCGCCGTGGTGTTTTTTTTTTGTTGCCATTTGTGTGTTTTGTTATTGGGTGTTGTTTAGTGATTTTCTTGTTTTGTCGTGTCTTTTTTTTTGTTGTCCGTTTATGCTTGCTTGGGTTGTATTGCTTGTGTTTCCTTGCCTATGCTGTTTGTTTTGCTGGTTGTTTGTTTTCTTTGTTTTATTTGCTGGCTTTTTGTTGATTGGTTTTTGTGTTTGGTTTATACGGGAATGCCCACTTCTTTCTTTTTTTTATTGATTTTTTTTTTTATGACTGTTTATAATGGTTGTGGTGCTGTGCTGGAAGGAACCCCGAGACGAGAGGAAACCTCCCGAGAGCCGACGAGAGCGTCAGAACGAGCCTTCGGTCTTGGCCTCCTAGATGCGGTCGGAGTAGATGGGGTCGGAGGATCGCGCCGCATCGCCGATGCATCGACAATGCGGCTCGATGCGGAGCCCGATACGGTCTGCTTCACGCCGACGTCGACGATGCATTGCCAGCGTCGCTGGTGCATCGCATATGCATCGGCGATGCATCTGCGATGCATTGGCAATTCGGCACGATCCTCCGACCCCATCTACTCTGTCCCCATCCAGGAGGCATCTATCCGGGATCCTTTTATCTTCGAGCCTCGGAGTAGGACGAAAGGGGGGCATAGGGAAAGCGGGAGGACGACTTCTTCTGCGATGCGCTTGCGACTCCTGCGCCAGAAGGCGCTGGGAAAATCGGCTACGAGAGCTGATTCGCTGTCTTGCGGGATGCCCAGCGCAGATGCGGATAAGCGAGGGGCGCCTGGGCTGCCTTGCCGTTGCTGAGGGTCTCGAGCGCCAAGGGAAAGAAGCCCGCCGCCTGCACGGATCCTTCCGAAGCAATCAGGCCGCTGCTGGTGCCGATGTTTTTGTAAACAGACTCAGGGTGGGTCGCAGGGCGGGGCGTCGGCGATTCGCGAGGCTCGATCGCCAATGTAAAGAAGGCTGCCGCAGGCGCCAGCTACTCGTCACCACGACCAGCCCGCCGTATGCGGCGATTCGATAGCCTTCAGTTCAGTGTTGTTGGTGGGTCAACCATGGGTCGCGGGTGAGTCGTGGGCGTGAGTCGCTGGCATGGGTCGCCGGTGGATCGCGGGTGGGTGGCGAGATGGTCGAGGGCGGGTCGCGGGCGGGTCGCGGGTTGGGTCGAGGGGTGGGTCGTGGGCGGGTCGCCATTGGATCGTGGGGCGGGTCGTGGAGGCAACGACGACGACGACGACGACGACGACGACGACGACGACAATAACACAACACAGCCAGAATCGACACCACGGCGTTCATTATCGGCCACGCGCCCAGGGACTGTTCGGCCCCTACGCCACGAGACGCGTAAGTCACTGCCAATCTGCGGGACTGCGCACCTCTGCGCTCCCACGACCGCGCTCCCGCCTCAGCCGAGCCGCCGCGCCCCTCTCGCCTCGCCGCCCGCGGCCCGCCCCAGCTCGAGACGTGGGCCCTCCGCCGCAGGGCCCGACCCCATCGGCGGGCCTCGCGCCTCTCCTGCCCTGCAGACGGCGATGGTCGCGCGGGTGAGGGCCACCGGGTCCTGCTCCGGAGCGCCGGCACGGTCGCGGCCGCGGCCAGAATACCGGCTTGAAGTGCGGACGTGGACGGCGCTGGAGAGGGGGCGAGGACCTGCACGCAGTCGCGCGGGTGGGTACCACACGCCCTGCTCCGGAGCGACGGCACGGTCGCGGCCTGGGGCCAGAATGCGGACGGCCAGTGCGACGTGCCAGCGCTGGAGGGAGGCGTGACCTACACGCACGTCGCCGCGGGTGGGTACCACACGGTCCTGCTCCGGAGCGACGGCACGGTCGCGGCCTGCGGCCACAATGCGCACGGCCAGTGCGACGTGCCGGCGCTGGAGGGAGGCGGGACCTACACACACGTCGCCGCGGGTGCATTCCACACGGTCCTGCTCCGGAGCGACGGCACGGTCGCGGCCTGCGGCCGGAATGCGAACGGCCAGTGCGACGTGCCGGCGCTGGAGGGAGGCGTGACCTACACGCACGTCGCCGCGGGTGCTTTCCACACGGTCCTGCTCCGGAGCGACGGCACGGTCGCGGCCTGCGGCCGGAATGCGAACGGCCAGTGCGACGTGCCGGCGCTGGAGGGAGGCGGGACCTACACGCACGTCGCCGCGGGTGCGTTCCACACGGTCCTGCTCCGGAGCGACGGCACGGTCGCGGCCTGGGGCCAGAATGCGCACGGCCAGTGCGACGTGCCGGCGCTGGAGGGAGGCGGGACCTACACGCACGTCGCCGCGGGTGGGCTCCAGACGGTCCTGCTCCGGAGCGACGGCACGGTCGCGGCCTGCGGCCAGAATGTGGAAGGCCAGTGCGACGTGCCGGCGCTGGAGGGAGGCGTGACCTATACCGCGCGCCTGTTTGGAGTTAATTTGCTCCTGCAGGCATCATTCGACGGCGTCTCACTGCGCTTTTTGACCTTGGGCGGGGTGGAGCGCTGTCGACTCCTGGCCGCCCCTGGCGCTCTGCTCGCAGATGTGCACCACCAGCTACTTGCTGAGCACGCCGCAGGGAGGCTGGGCCCGGGATTCGACCGTGTCGACGCCGTCCTGCCAGGAGGGCTGCTCCTGAGTGAAGCCTCGGTCGACGAGACTGTCGCAAGCGTTTTTGGGCCCGCTCAGCGCGGCTAGAAGCAGAAACACCTGGCTCGGCGGTCCTCCTCCTGCTTTTCCTGCTTTGCCCATCACGCTACGCTTCCTTGCACCGCCACTCACCCTGGAGTCTCTTTGAGGGCTTTACTTCTGAGCCTCTGCTTCGGAGTCAATGGTCGGCTGGAGCCACGCCAGCCAGGCAGTCTGCTCCCTCCTTCGCCGCACCATCTTGCTCCCTCGCCCATCTCTCCTTCCCCAGCCTTCCTCTTTCTCTCCACCTTCTCCTGCGCGCCTCTCCATAATTTCAGGAGCGAAAGAAGGACGTTCACGTACATGAATCCACGCTGGTTTCGAGAGTACGCATTGCGCAAATACTTAATCGCTTCGCTCATTCCGCCGGCCCGTATTGTGCCATCGCAGGCGTTTGCTTGCGCGTTCGTGGCCTCTTGGAGCCTCGGTGGGGCCGTTTGGGGCCTCTTGGCGCCTCTTTTTAGGCCTCTTGGAGAACTCGGGAGGCCTCCAGGGGGCCTCCTGAGCTCTCGTGACGGTCTCTTGGGGGGCTTTCGGCGGGCTCTTGGCGGTATTTGTTGGTCCTCTTGGGGCCTGGGGCCTGACGTTGTTGGTCCTCTTGGGGCCTCACGGGAGCTTATTGGGGCGTCTTGGGGGTGTCTTGGAGAGTCTCTTGGGGCCTCTTTCGGGGTCCTGGGCGCCTTCTGGGGCGGAGGGCTCGATTTTTCAGTTCTCGGTTCCCTTCTTGAGCCCCTCTTGGGCCCGTCTTGGGGCCTCTTGGTCCGCCTTTGGCAGCACTTGGGCCGTCTGGGGGGCGCTCTTGGGCCGCTCCGGGGCCGTCTTGGGAGCCTCGTGGGCCGTCTTGGAGCAGTCTTGAAGGCCTCTTGGGCCCTCTTGGAGCGTCCGGAAGCGAAAAGGCCAGAACGCAAAAAAACATCGAACAAAACCAATGAAAATCAACGATTTTGGCAACTTGGGGCCCTCTTCGGAGGCCTCTTGGAAGGCCCTTGGAGCGTCTTGGAGGCCTCTTGGGCTGTCTTGGGGCCATCTGGGGCGTCTACGGGCGATCTTTGGCCGTCTCGGGCCTCTCTTGGACCGTCTAGAAAGCTTCTCGGGGCCCTCTTGGACCGATCTGGAGCCCTCTTGGACTCCGAAACAGAACTCCGGCATCTCTGACCCGACCTTGCCGGGGACTTGCCGGGGACTTGCCAGGACCTTGCCGGGGTACTTTTCGCCCGGGGACCCCCAGGGGCCGCCCCGCGCGCGCGAACTAGAAATACTGTTAACCAGGTACCGGAGATCTTAGCACGCCCTGGCCCGTTGGGCCGGCGAATTCGTCTAACGCGGCCAGTCTCGCAGATCGAGGGGCCGTGTTCATGTACATAGCTGGGCGCGTACGTCCTTTGTGGCCTTTCCATAATTAGAGAACTCGTCGTCTGACCACAAGACGTGTCGGCAGGGCGTGCCGGGCATTTCGCCTGAGACTCCTTCCGCTCTCCATGACCCCAAAGCGTCGAGTTTCTTGTCACTTCAAGGAAGAAGGAGGGTTGCTTTTTGAAATGGGGCCCCCCCAGCCACGGGGGGGCACCCCCAGCACAAGATTGGGAAAAGATAGGAAAGGGCATGCATACAAATGACGAGGCCAGGGCAGGGGGCCCCCAGGGCCAGAACCTCTACCACAGATGTGTGCCCTTGGGGCCCGGTCCGCTGCTGGGAGGTCGCATATTCGCCCCCTCAGCGCCAATGCCCTCTAGCTCAGTCGGGCTGGTCCGGGCCCCCACCCCGGAACGCTCCCGACGAGGCGCCGCTTTTGGAAGGAACCCCGACGCGAGAGGAAACTTCCTGAGAGCCGACGAGAGCGTCAGAACGAGCCTTCGGTCTTGGCCTCCAAGATGCGGTCGGAGTAGATGGGGTCGGAGGATCGCGCCGCATCGCCGATGCATCGACAATGCGGCTCGATGCTGAGCCCGATACGGTCTGCTTCACGCCGACGTCGACGATGCATTGCCAGCGTCGCTGGTGCATCGCCAATGCATCGGCGATGCATCTGCGATGCATTAGCAATTCGGTACGATCCTCCGACCCCATCTACTCCGTCCCCACCAGGAGGCATCGATCCGGGATCCTTTTATCTTCGAGCCTCGGGGTAGGACGAAAGGGGGGCATAGGGAAAGCGGGAGGACGACTTCTTCTGCGATGCGCTTGCGACTCGGGCGCCAGAAGGCGCTGGGGAAATCGGCTACGAGAGCTGATTCGCTGTCCTGCGGGATGCCCAGCGCAGATGCGGATAAGCGAGGGGCGCCTGGGCTGCCTTGCCGTTGCTGAGGGTCTCGAGCGCCAAGGGAAAGAAGCCCGCCGCCTGCACGGATCCTTCCGAAGCAATCAGGCCGCTGCTGGTGCCGATGTTTTTGTAAACAGACTCAGGGTGGGTCGCAGGGCGGGGCGTCGGCGATTCGCGAGGCTCGAGCGCCAATGTAAAGAAGGCTGCCGCAGGCGCCAGCTACTCGTCACCACGACCAGCCCGCCGTATGCGGCGATTCGATAGCCTTCAGTTCAGTGTTGTTGGTGGGTCAACCATGGGTCGCGGGTGAGTCGTGGGCGTGAGTCGCTGGCATGGGTCGCCGGTGGATCGCGGGTGGGTGGCGAGATGGTCGAGGGCGGGTCGCGGGCGGGTCGCGGGTTGGGTCGAGGGGTGGGTCGTGGGCGGGTCGCCATTGGATCGTGGGGCGGGTCGTGGAGGCAACGACGACGACGACGACGACGACGACGACGACGACGACGACGACGACAATAACACAACACAGCCAGAATCGACACCACGGCGTTCATTATCGGCCACGCGCCCAGGGACTGTTCGGCCCCTACGCCACGAGACGCGTAAGTCACTGCCAATCTGCGGGACTGCGCACCTCTGCGCTCCCACGACCGCGCTCCCGCCTCAGCCGAGCCGCCGCGCCCCCTCTCGCCTCGCCGCCCGCGGCCGCCCCAGCTCGAGCCGTGGCCCTCCGCCGCAGGGCCCCGCTCCCATCGGCGGGCCTCGCGCCTCTCCTGCCCTGCCGACGGATGGTCGCCGCGGGTGGGGGCCACACGGTCCTGCTCCGGAGCGACGGCACGGTCGCGGCCTGCGGCCAGAATACGGACGGCCAGTGCGACGTGCCGGCGCTGGAGGGAGGCGGGACCTGCACGCACGTCGCCGCGGGTGCGTTCCACACGGTCCTGTTCCGGAGCGACGGCACGGTCGCGGCCTGGGGCCAGAATGCGGACGGCCAGTGCGACGTGCCAGCGCTGGAGGGAGGCGTGACCTACACGCACGTCGCCGCGGGTGGGTACCACACGGTCCTGCTCCGGAGCGACGGCACGGTCGCGGCCTGCGGCCACAATGCGCACGGCCAGTGCGACGTGCCGGCGCTGGAGGGAGGCGGGACCTACACACAACTTCGCCGCGTGTGCATTCGCCACACGTCCTGCTCACGTAGCGACGGCACGGTCGCGGCCTGCGGCCAGAATGCGGAAGGCCAGTGCGACGTGCCGGCGCTGGAGGGAGGCGTGACCTACACGCACGTCGCCGCGGGTGGGCGCTACACAGTCCTGTTCCGGAGCGACGGCACGGTCGCAGCCTGCGGCCAGAATGCGCACGGCCAGTGCGACGTGCCGGCGCTGGAGGTAGGCGTGACCTACACGCACGTCGCCGCGGGTTGGCTCCACACGGTCCTGCTCCGGAGCGACGGTACGGCCGCGACCTGCGGCCAGAGTACGCACGGCCAGTGCGACGTGCCGGCGCTGGAGGGAGGCGTGACCTACACGCACGTCGCCGCGGGTCAGTACCACACGGCCCTGCTCCGGAGCGACGGCACGGTCGCGGCCTGCGGCCAGAATGCGGAAGGCCAGTGCGACGTGCCGGCGCTGGAGGGAGGCGTGACCTACACGCACGTCGCCGCGGGTGGGCGCTACACAGTCCTGTTCCGGAGCGACGGCACGGTCGCAGCCTGCGGCCAGAATGCGCACGGCCAGTGCGACGTGCCGGCGCTGGAGGTAGGCGTGACCTACACGCACGTCGCCGCGGGTTGGCTCCACACGGTCCTGCTCCGGAGCGACGGTACGGCCGCGACCTGCGGCCAGAGTACGCACGGCCAGTGCGACGTGCCGGCGCTGGAGGGAGGCGTGACCTACACGCACGTCGCCGCGGGTCAGTACCACACGGCCCTGCTCCGGAGCGACGGCACGGTCGCGGCCTGCGGCCAGAATGCGGAAGGCCAGTGCGACGTGCCGGCGCTGGAGGGAGGCGTGCCTGCACGCACGTCGCCGCGGGTGCGTGCCACACGGTCCTGCTGCCGATGGTCACACGACGGCAGGTCGCGGCCCTGCGGCCGGAATGCGGAAGGCCAGTTTGACGTGCCGGCGCTGGAGGGAGGCGTGACCTACACGCACGTCGCCGCGGGTGCGTTCCACACGGTCCTGCTCCGGAGCGACGGCACGGTCGCGGCCTGCGGCCGGAATGCGAACGGCCAGTGCGACGTGCCGGCGCTGGAGGGAGGCGTGACCTACACGCACGTCGCCGCGGGTGGGTACCACACGGTCCTGCTCCGGAGCGACGGCACGGTCGCGGCTTGCGGCCGGAATGCAGACGGCCAGTGCGACGTGCCGGCGCTGGAGGGAGGCGGGACCTACACGCACGTCGCCGCGGGTGCGTTCCACACGGTCCTGCTCCGGAGCGACGGCACGGTCGCGGCCTGGGGCCAGAATGCGCACGGCCAGTGCGACGTGCCGGCGCTGGAGGGAGGCGTGACCTACACGCACGTCGCCGCGGGTGCGTTCCACACTGTCCTGCTCCGGAGCGACGGCACGGTCGCGGCCTGCGGCCAGAATCTGGCTCGCCAGTGCGACGTGCCGGCGCTGGAGGGAGGCGTGACCTATACCGCGCGCCTGTTTGGAGTTAATTTGCTCCTGCAGGCATCATTCGACGGCGTATCACTGCGCTTTTTGACCTTGGGCGGGGTGGAGCGCTGTCGACTCCTGGCCGCCCCTGGCGCTCTGCTCGCAGATGTGCACCACCAGCTACTTGCTGAGCACGCCGCAGGGAGGCTGGGCCCGGGATTCGACCATGTCGACGCCGTCCTGCCAGGAGGGCTGCTCCTGAGTGAGGCCTCGGTCGACGAGACTGTCGCAAGCGTCTCCTGAAGCTCTCTGGGGCCTCCTGGGGCTCCCAGGGTCCCAGGGGGGATATGTAACATGTGGTCTTCTGGGCCCCCCAGGCTGGACCACCTCTTGCGCAGCATCTGAGAGCTCAGAGTTGCGAGAATGTCTTGTGCGAAACGGGCTGGACCACCTTGCGCACGGCATCTCAGAGCTCAGAGTTGCGAGGATGTCTCAGGCGAGATGGGCCGGACCACCTCGCGCAGGGCATCTCGGAGCCCAGAGTTGCGAGGATGTCTCCAGCGTAACGGGCTGGACCACCTCGCGCGCGGCATTTCGGACCCCAGAGTTGCGACGATGTCTCGGGCGAAACGTGCTGCGAGGAAGTCTCAGGCGAAACGGGCCGGACCACCTCGAGCGCGGCGTCTCAGAGATCCGAGTTGCGGGGGCCTCCTGGGGCCTCCTGGGGCCTCCTGGTGACTGGGGCTTCCTCCTGGGCCTCCTGTGGCCTCCTGGACCCCACCTGGGGCTTCCTGAAGCCTCTTGGGGCTCCCAGGGGGGGATATGTATCTAACATGTGGCCGTCGGGGCCCCCCAAAATTGGGGGGGGCACAAGAGCAGGAAAAATCAACGAATCGGCACCGGATGTTTATTGACTTGACACGTTCTGATAGGGGGCCTCCTGGGGCCTCCTGGGAGCCTCCTGGGAATCTCCTGCGGACCCCTGGGGCCTGTCCTGGGCGTCCTGTGGCTTCCTGAAGCTATCTAGGGCCTCCTGGGGCTCCCAGGGTCCCAGGGAGGATATGTAACATGTGGTCTTCTGGACCCCCAGGCTGGACCACCTCGCGCAGGGCATCTCAGAGCTCAGAAGTTGCGATAATGTCTTGTGCGAAACGGGCCGGACCAACTTGCGCACAGATCTCAGAGCTCAGAGTTGCAAGCATTTCTCAGGCGAGACGGGCCAGTGTCTCGGGCGAAACGTGCTGCGAGGAAGTCTCGGGCGAAACGGGCCGGACCACCTCGAGCGCGGCGTCTCAGAGATCCGAGTTGCGGGGGCCTCCTGGGGCCTCCTGGGGACCTCCTGGGGATTCCTCCTGGGCCTCCTGTGGCCTCCTGGACCCCACCTGGGGTTTCCTGAAGCCTCTTGGGGCTCCCAGGGGGGATATCTAACCTGTGGCCGCTTGAAACTCTCAAAATGGAGGGGGGGGCACAAGAGCAGGAAAAATCAACGAATCGACACCGGATGTGTATTCACTTGACACGTTCTGATAGGGGGCCTCCTGGGGCCTCCTGGGAGCCTCCTGGGAATCTCCTGGGGACCCCTGGGGCCTGTCCTGGGCGTCCTGCGGCCTCCTGAAGCTATCTAGGGCCTCCTGGGGCTCCCAGGGTCCCAGGGAGGATATGTAACATGTGGTCTTCTGGACCCCCAGGCTGGACCACCTCTTGCGCGGCATCTGGGAGCTCAGAGTTGCGAGAATGTCTTGTGCGAAACAGGCCGGACCACCTTGCGCACGGCATCTCAGAGCTCAGAGTTGCGAGGATGTCTCAGGCGAAACGGGCCGGACCACCTCGCGCAGGGCATCTCAGAGCTCAGAAGTTGCGAGGATGTCTCAGGCGGGCTCCCAGGGTCCCAGGGGGGATATGTAAGATGTGGTCTTCTGGGCCCCCAGGCTGGACCACCTCTTGCGCGGCATCTGGGAGCTCAGAGTTGCGAGAATGTCTTGTGCGAAACAGGCCGGACCACCTTGCGCACGGCATCTCAGAGCTCAGAGTTGCGAGGATGTCTCAGGCGAGACGGGCCGGACCACCTCGCGCAGGGCATCTCAGAGCTCAGAAGTTCGAGGATGTCTCAGGCGGGCTCCCAGGGTCCCAGGGGGGATATGTAACATGTGGTCTTCTGGGCCCCCAGGCTGGACCACCTCTTGCGCGGCATCTGTGAGCTCAGAGTTGCGAGAATGTCTTGTGCGAAACAGGCCGGACCACCTTGCGCACGGCATCTCAGAGCTCAGAGTTGCGAGGATGTCTCAGGCGAGACGGGCCGGACCACCTCGCGCAGTGCATCGCAGAGCTCAGAAGTTCGAGGATGTCTCAGGCGAAACGGGCCGGACCACTTCTCGCGCGGCATCTCCGAGGTCAGCGTTTCGAGGATGTCTCAGGCGAAACGGGCCGGACCACCTCGCGCAGGGCATCTCAGAGCTTAGAGTTTCGAGGATGTCTCAGGCGAAACGGCCAATCCCGGCCAACTCATAAACGAGAGTTGTGAGGATGTCTCAAGCGAAACGGCCCGGACCATCAAATTTTTGTGAGGATGTCTCTGCTCCGACTTCCCTCGGCCAGAGTTAGCTTCTATCACAACAGCACCCCGTTCAGCAAGCTGTTTGGGGAATTATTTGTTGCGAGTTTGAATGCATGCCGTCAGAACTTACGGTTATATACTCTTCTTTCGTCTATGCAGATGTTTAACTTCAGCCCGTTTGCCACCACGAGGGGTACCAGTAGCAAGCGCAATACCCTAGGCTGCAATAACCTCTACCTCTCATGCCCTTTTGCTCGCTCTTTCGCCTCGACCCGCGCCCTGCAGGGCACCACCTCCGACGCCTGTCGGGCATTTAGTTGCGCCTCAGCAGTTCCCGCTCCCCCATCCAACAACCTCCCCCATCCTCACCAGAAACTCGCCCTGTAAGCGACCTCCTAGGCCCTAGGACTCGTCGTCTGGGATGGATGGGGGGAGGGGCACAGGGTGGGAGGGAGTAGCAACGATCAAAGTTGCACAACAACCTAGTTTCTTTAGTCGCCGAGGTCGCATGGAGCACGTGCCGCTGTCCCTCGTTAGATTAGGCCCACGTGGCACGAGGTCAACGGTATCGCGAACTCTGTTCACGCGCCGCACCACCGAGACCTAATGCATCGCATCTCCATGCGACGAAGACATACCGCCATCGTTGGCTCAGTCGCCTTGGGGTCATTTGAGGGAGTTTATGTTGAACTCACGTCATCCTCACCCCTGGCGCGCCAGGAGCACGGGAGCGGACAGGGTCTTCTGGCACCGTTTCCCGGGGATTCCAGGGACGAATGCCAAACTGGCGCCCTCGCTTGGGACATCCTTTCACAACCGGCCCTGGGGGGGGGGGGTCCAAAGGAGCCCTGAAAGGGCTTCCGGCGCCGTTTCCGGGGAATTCTGGAGACGAATGCCAAACCGGCGCCTTCGCTTGGGACATCCTGTCAAAACCGGCTTTGGGGGAGGAGTTCCCGTGGAACTCACGTCATCCTCACCCCCAGCACATCCTCTCAAAACTGGCCCTGGAGGAAGGGTCCAGAGGAGCCCAGAAGATGCTTCTGGCACTGTTTCCTCACCCTCCTGATCTTTATGCTCCTCATCCTCGTTCTCCTGATCCTCATTCTCAACATCCTCACCCTCCTGCTCCGTGACCCTCACTCTCCTGATCCTCACCCTCGTCTGGTCCTCGCCCTCCTCATCCTCGCCCGCCGCACCACCGCCTCCCCCTCATTCTCCTCTCGCCCACAGGCGCACGCACCTTCTTCTATACACAGAAACTCCCAATCAACCGCAGAGCGGCTGGCTAGTCATAACTGCGCCAAGTGACCTCGCCAAGCCGAGCGCCATACTCGGCCACCGTAATCACCGCATCTCGAGGGCGTCGTTGTAAGCACCGTGACTATCGCAGCCATTCCTACCATCACCGAAATCACCACCACAATTTCGGCCGGGCCATCAACATGGTGCGCGTCCTCGTTTTAATCACGATCCTTGTGGTCAGCGCACTCATCAACACAATGTTCATCATCACCATCATCATCATCATCAGCAGCAGCATCATCATCAGTATCATCATCGTTTTACCCGTCGTCATTATCATCGGCGTCGTCGTCATGTTCATAGCTATCATCATCACCATCATCATAAATATCATCACCAATACCATCACCGTCGTCGTCATCATCATCGTCATCGTCACCATCATCATGTTGATCATCATCAATCACCACACTCCTCGTCCAAATCGCGTTTGGTTCGGCGCTTGGCTCAAACATGTTGATCTCACTGTGCGCCCGCGCTTTCGCTTACAACCCACGGCGGCCAAATTATCCGTGGCTGATGTTTTGTCCCCGTTTCCGGCCGAATTCCTGTGATGGTTTTGCGCGGGATATCACATTTCGGACGCACCTGGTCGCGTAGAGACAATGCGCGGATTCTTGCTGCGATCGGGCCCGTCGCGACCACACTGGCGATTGAAGACACACTCAAACAGATAATCCAGCAGGCCCCTTCGTGGGTATCACTGAAACCGCGGAAGACGGCCACGGTGAGTCCTTTTGTGTGCAACCGTTCTGCGATTTTGGCGCAGTCCTGTTTCCAAGGGTGGCAGCCCTTCAATGGTAAGTCTCAGTGCGCGCGTCGCCAAACCAACGTACGCTGGCGCCCTTACGATGCGGTGTTCTTCACCTTCAGCATGGGCATGCGACGCGGACGCGCGTGTTCTTTACGTTGTTTCAAACGCTGTTCAGTTACTCTGGGAACTGGGCGTGGCGGGGAGTCCCAGAAGAGTCGGAATCCCCTGAAGGTTTTCACTGGCCGGAACGGGCTCCGGGAGCCAGCCTGGCCGACAGGCGGTTCTTTGCGACGCCGCGGGTTTGTTGGGGGGCGACGCTATTGAGGTTGATATGGGGCAACGCGCGGCGAGGCGGCATGGGCGCGACCGCGCACTTTGATGTTTACCGTTCTCTATGGGCCCAAACGGCTGCGAACGCAATGTACCACATGACGACGGGAACCGCGCAAGAAGGAGCGGTTACAGTGAAGTGGTGGCGCGGGCAATACAGGCCAGCAAACACAAGCGCGGATAAGAGCGAAGCGGTCCAAAGGCTGCCTCGCGGGAGGCGCTGCGCTCGAGCGGTAATGTCAAAAGCCCGCCGCAGGCGCTGATGATGTCAACGCGCAGTCCGCCGCAACGCCCGACTTCTGCACGAAACAACATGGGCGGTTAGCGGGGAGGTCGCAGGCGCGGATCAAAGGCGCGTCGCGGGCGGGTCGAAGGTGGGCTGCGAGAGGGTCGCAAGTTTGTCCTGGGCGGTCGTGGGCGGGCTGTGACTGGGGCGCGGGTGAGTCGCGGAGTGGGCGGCGGGGCGGGTCGCGCGAGGCCAGACGAGGCCAGGCCACGATGCGACGCAAAACTGAGATCCGCACGACAGAATCCGACCTCGGCCATGCCCCCAGGGACAGTTTAAGACCGCTTTGGCCTCTCGCTCTGACGCATGTTTCACAGCAGTTCCCCCCCTCTCTCTTCCAATTTATTGCGCTTCGATGGGGTCCCCGCCCAACCTTCGGCGGGCGCCCCCCCCCCCTCCTCCTCATCCTCCTTCCTTTTCCCCTTGCCTCCTGCCTCGCGCCTCCGCCTCCCCTTGCCCCCCTTCCCTCCTCGTTTATTTTCCCTCCTTGCCCCGGAGCTCGAAAACGACTCCCGGGCCCCCAAATGTAGGCAAAACATGCGGAGACCGCAAGATGACGTAAACCCAACAAGAAAGCTACACAGATCGACGACGACGACGACGGACGACGGACGACGACGCGGACGACGAAAACGACGACGACGACGACGACGATGGTGATTACGATGATGATGGTGGGGGTGATGGCGATGGTGATGATGCTGCCGGTGGCGATGGTGCTGGTGATGGCGATGATGATGATGATGCTGATGACGACGATGATGATGATGATCTAAAAGCCTTCGGCGAATCCCGCCACCGTGCCTGGGCTGCTGGTCAGAGGGCTCCTGAGCGTTCGTTGGGATCTCGTGGTAGGTGTCTCCGGGGCCTCCTGAAATCAGTTCCGAGGCGCGTTGGGGCCCGTTTGCGTGCTTCTTGGGGCCTCTTGGGGGCCTTTTTGGGGCCTTTGGGGGGCCTCTTGGGGCATTTTGGGGGCCTCTTGTGGGCCTCTTGGGGCCTCCTTAGGGCTTCTTGGGGCTGAGGGCTCGAAATGTCCGTTCGCCCCCCCCGTCTGGACCCACTCTTGGAGCCGTTTTGGGGGCTTCTTGGGCCGTCCTGGAGGCCTCTCGGGCCGTCTTGGGGTTCTCTTGGGTTGTTTCGGGGCCGTCAAAAGGGGCCTGTTGGGGGGTCGTTTTGGGGCGATATCGGATTCCTGCCGGGCCGTCTTAGAGCGTCGGGAAGACGAAAGCGCGAGAACCCCAACAGCTTTTAAAAAAAACTAGTGGATAGCTTACGATTCTTGCCTCAGGGGGCCTTCTTTGGGGGCCTTTTGGTGGCTTTTTGGGGCGTCTTAGAGACCTTTTGGGCCGCGTGGATGATTATATGTTTTATTCATATATAGTGATTTTCGGCCTATCCCGCCACCGTGCCTGGGTTGTAGGTCAGAGGGCTCTTGAGTGCTCGTTGGGATCTCGTGGTAGGTGTTTCGGGGCCTCTTGGAAACAGTTTTGCTGCGTTGGGGGCCGTTTTGAAGTCTCTTTTGGGTTTTGTTTGCCCTCATGGGGGCCTCTTTTCGGCTTCGTGGGCTCTCCCCAGGCTTCCTCCCCAGGTGTAAATTGAACATGCCATTATACTCCACAGATCTCCGGGTATAACACAGCGCCCAATACTCCGCAGCCTTCGGATACAATTCAACCTTCAGTACTCAACGCGCCCAATGCAATTACATGCCACAGCCTTCGGGTACAACGCAACACCCAGTATCGTATTGGCCCACGGCCAGCGCCGCCGATCCCGGGCGCTCCCGATGCTGGTTCGTTAGTGGGTGATTAGCACCCCGCAGCAGCGCAAAAGCTTGACGAGGGTGCTCTCAAGGGGGGGGGGGACTCCCCCCCGGTGGGCAGGGGGACCGAGGACGCCAAGGGGGTCTCTCCTCCAGAACTGGGGACGCCGGGCAGGGGGACGGGGAGCTCTCTCCCCCGGTTCCGGGGGGTCCCTGACCCTTGTCCAGTGATCTGCGATCAGCAAGTCGTGCAGAAAACGGATTCTGAGGACCCTCCCTTACCCCCCTTCCCCGGCAGAGCAACCCCCGCTTCCCCCCGAGCAGAACTGAAACTCTTGCTGAAGTTTTTCTAAATTCACGCGCCGGGCCGGCGGATTTAACAGTTTCCGGGCACAACGCAACGCCCAGTATTCAACAGGCTCCCTCCCCGGGTGCGAATTGAATATACAATTATACCCCACAGCCTTTGGGCGCAACACAACACCCAGCATTGCACATTCTTCGGGTACAACACTACACGCAGTACTCAACAGGCTCCCTCTCCATTCGTAGCTTCTGTATACCATTATATTGCACAGCAAGCGGATCTAGCACAACACCCAGTATTCAACAGCGTTCGGGTACATTTCAACGCCCCTACTTTCCAGGCCCCCCGGGGTAATTTGACGTGGACCTATCCTTCATAGGATTGTATCAGAGGTGTCTCCCTCCCTACTGGGGTTCTAGTAGAGGTGGCTCCATGCCGCGTGCGAGTCCATCAGAAGTGGGGCCATCCCTATTGGGATTCAATCAGAAATACCTCCCTCCGGACTAGGGTCTTAGCAGAGGTGGGCTCATCGACGCTAGGATTCCATTAGAGGTGCCTCCATCCCCTCGCAGGCACTTTTTCGAGGCAGCTCCATCGCTAATCG